CGGCGGCGGGGCCTGGGCCGGGGGCCCTTCGTGGACCCGGCGCGGGACAACTACCGCGCCTTGACGGGGCTGTACAGCGCCATCCAGCCCGCTGATTCCGTGTCGCTCAGCACCCGCACGCACGGCGCCGTCTTCAACCTCGAGTACTCCCCCGACGGGTAAGGCCGGGCCCGGGCCGCCCACCCGCACGCCCTGGTGCCCGGGAGCCGCCCCCTCCGCGGTTGTCGGGCCCTGGGCTGGGAGGAGCCTGTTGCCTTCCCTGTGAGGGGCCTGAGCCGCGGGGGGAGGGCAGGAATGGCAGCGCTGTGTGCCCACCCAGGGAGCCTGTTATGTAACCGAGGCATAATGCTAAGTAAAGCCAGGAAGTGATCAAACCTCTGCAGGTAGAAGCAGCGTATCCACAAATCCTTGACCAAAGCGAAACCCACAAAGCCTCTTTCCAGGGTGTCCCAAATCCCCTGATTCTTGGCGGGCAGCAGAAATCTTCCCCACAAAATGTGGTGTGTTGGATCCTGCTCATCACCTGGCTGGCTTTTGAATGATGGGGGATGTGTTGATCCCAAGCAGTAGGTAAAAATTTAAGCTAGTTAATCAATTTCTGTACTTGATAAAACCTAGTTGGGTTTATTTCCTCTTGTTTTTTTAATGGAAAATGTTACTAATGGAAACTCAGTATGTGTCTGTTCATCTGCTGTTTGCAAAGGTTTGTGGGTTGGTCTCACTAACTGGCTATTTTGGCAGAACTGCTCAACACTTCCAAGAGTGGTCTGGGTTTTAATCTTTCAGACCTGTACTGGGATCAAGGGTTATTCCTCTTGTGGGGCTGTTTATGCAGGTAATGCCACTGACTTCAGGAAGATTAGCAAAACTGACTCCGGACAGTGGTGTGGCTAATAGCGCTGTGTATTTAGGATGCTGTTTTCTTGCAAAATGTAAGGCTGGTTGCAGACAGAAAAATCTGCGTCCGTGTCCGTGTCTGTCCCCGTCGGCCCCCGTCCCCCCCGAATCCCTGTCCAAATGACCGCCTGGGCCATGTTCAGCAGATACATAAATTGCAGGGATTAGCTCAAAGTGTGGTGCTTGAGCTGGGACAGAGCTCAGAGTGTGGTACTTGACATTTTTAGTTTTATGCTTGACTGGAGGAGACCAGATCTAGTTTTAATGTCCTACCTTTTGAGGCCCACTGAGAATAGAAACAAGTTATTTGTGCACTGGGGAACTACAGCACTCTGGTGTCCAGCAGTATATTTGCTTATAAGTGTAGCAGGTGACCCAGCAATAGATCAGCATCATTCTGATTCTTATCTGATTTAGCAAGTATGCTACTGGCAGTAAGCGCTCAACAGTAGTAGTAGGGCACATTGATGGAGGATTAACCTACTATTTTTGTGAGAGATTGGGGTTTGGAACCAAAGGAACGTTACTTCGAATTATTTGAATTTGACATGTTGTACACCTGTAGCCCATTAGTTTTAGACTAGAGGTAACAGAACACTAAAATCTACTTTAAAATATAGACAAAATTAAAAAGAGAGAGTTAGGTGAGCTTAAAGAAGGATGGAAGGTCCTAGAACAACAGCACAACGTGGAACAAGCAGAATTCAGAAAAATGTATTTGAACAATCACTTTTTGCGGCATGTTTTCATTTTAGTTGACTTGCACCCCCCCCCAAAGCGGACACAACCATATTTTGTTTCTGGACAACCAAATACAAAGTTTTAATGGTCAAGGACAAGCTGTGAGTGGTAGTGTAGCCTCCCAGATGCACTGAAACTTAATCAGAGCCAAGTTCCAGTTCTCCTTTGATATCAGTGGTGAAACTACCAATGAAATCAAGCAGTTACATCACACCAGATCTGGCCCCTAATCTGCCTCATCTGCTATTCTCAGAGCAGGACAGAATGAAATTTCAATAAGTACCAAACTGAGCTGTTGGCAGTTCTCATGTTGGGACAGATGAATTCCTCTGTCGTGTTTTCAGTATGTAAGTGTATAGTTGTGCCAATTTTTCAAAACAACAGGGTCAGTCTTCTGCTGAGATTGCAGGAGCTGGTGGCATAAGGGATGGAAGTGAAATGTTTTATGCTGGGATAGCTGGGGTGGTGATGTAAACACCTAGTGAAGATGAGCAGTGCCAGTTCAGTGTCGCTTGCTATGGTGCAGCATAGTTACATCAGCACAAAGGTCCCTAGTTTGGACAGGACATGTTTATCTCTCCAGACAGCACAGGATGACAGGAAGCACAAATTTGAGGAGCTACTGGATTCTAGTTTCTGGCAAGTATTTTGCTTCCTCGGGTTGGTGGAGCAGACAACCCTCAGTCTTTGATGTGCTTCACTGCATTGTTTTAAAGCAGTTTGGAATTCTGTCATGCTAGGAAAATCCTTAGCCCTCCTTTTAGAACAGCTTTAAAATCCACTTTGTGGATTTGGCAGTGGAAACTGATCTTAATAGTACTAAATCGGGCTTGGTAACATTTACTTGTCTTTAAAATGTTGTTTTATAGTAATGATAGAAGATACTATTGGCTAATGCAAAATCATATTTCTTTAAAAGACTATGGACTTTTGATGCTTTATATGGCTCTTTGGAATTTGGAAATTGCCTTGCTGCCACTTCCTTGTTGCTGTTATCTGTGAACATGTCTCTTCCTTAATATGTCCTACAGTCCTTGTGTAGTTAAATGAGACAAACCACAGGTCGGATGGCAAATGTTATTCTGATGAAGGCTAATTCAGTTAGTCAGTGTATGAATTTTGCTTTCTGGTGGAGCGTTGTTTAACTAGTATATTCTGAATGTTTTCTTTATACTGACTTTAACAGGCTTTGAGTCAGTCCCCAAATAAGCAGCTACCCAACCCAAATTTTAGAAAAAAAGAAAGAATGGTTATAGTTTCCTAGGCCGAGAGGGACAGTCAGTTGGATTTGCTGCAGCTACTGACTGGTTACTTAACGTGCTCTGGTCCATGTTAGTTAACATGCCTAAAGGATGGCATCATAGTTTAAATAGCAAAACCTTGCATTACTGATCAGCTGGTGCTTAAGTACATGGTGATTATATTTTATACTTTTGGATCTTTTTAAACTACTCCAGCTAGTAAGATGGTGACATGACCCACATTCTAGGATTCAGTGCCACATGTACTACGTATTTCTTTGCTAGGTACTACTACTGTCAGTTCACCAAGCTTATTCAGAGCTGGCTATTAGAGGGTCTTTTAGGAATAGCATCTCTTGTCTCTTCAGGATAAGGGGGCAGACTAGATGATCCTAAGGTCCCTTCTAACCCTTGGATTCTAGTACACTATTCAAGCACAAATTGATATAGCTTTGCAAAATCCTTCAGACAAGTATTTGCATTCCATAGGCAGAGAGAGCCTGTGAAATGGCCACAGAAGTCTGTTATAAACCTTGGGTCAGAACCCATATTGTTGTCTACATCCTCCTTCTCCTTCCATTTAATAGGCTGCAGTTATGAACAGAGCTGCACACATATGGAGCTCCAGTTTCCATATGTATTCCTAGATTTTATCTCTCTTCCCCACCCAGTAGCCAGTAGGTTAGAATACAAAGGCACTGATGGGACACAACACCCTTAGATAACATTTTGTTCAAAACTCTCGTAACTCTACTCAGCCTGTGGATTGATTTGTGTTGTCATCAAGTTTTATGCAGTAGCATAATAGTTATAAATTAGCCATTATTCAATTAAAGGGTTCACATGACCTGTCCAGTGGATACACCAGCTATGCATCGATTTATGCCAGCCGCCAGGCTGCAAAGGAGAGCAGGTTTGTTGTTTTTTTTTTTCAGAACAGGTGACAAAGAAATGACTTCATAGTTGAGTAGACAGCATGCCAATGTTAAACTCCTTATTTGAGACTGCACAGTGGAAAGAAGGCAATGGAACAAAGCTACCTGCGCAAAATCAGAACAGTGTCTTGGGCTTTGTGAAATGTGCGCAGTTGGTAACAAAGCAGAGATGAGAATAGGTCTAACGGATGCCTTTCATAGTATTTAAAGACTTTACTTCATTAAATGAGTAATACCTTTCCTTTTCTCTTACTCTCTTCAGGTCAGTGCTGACTGTTGCTTGTGAACAGACTGAAGTTTTGCTTTTTGACCCCATATCTTCAAAGCACATCAAAACTCTCTCTGAAGCTCATGAGGACTGTGTAAATAATATCAGGTAAGTCCCTTGGGGGAGGGGGCATGGAGGGAAGCCAAACTTTAAATGCAAGAAAATGCCATAATTTTTTTAATGGTAGATGTTTTTTGTGCATTGTGGTGCTGTTATAATTTAGTTCAGTCCTCTCTTCTTCTACACATTTTATCCAGCCAACAGAATGTGATTTAATGTGTACTGTTTACCTTGTTTTGCTGCATCCTGTTGCAGGGGAGGGAGTGGGGGAGAAGTTGAAGAGCAGTATTGTGCGTCTGGTTGCAATACGAAACATACACACTTGTTCCTTTAAATGACTGTGGTTTGAGGGATGCAGTGGAGGGCATGGTTTTTAAGTAATATTGGTTATTTCCGTTTGTCTAGTAACTGTGGGGTGTGTTTTGTAAGCACCAGGCACAGGAAGGAAAGGATTTGTATTTACACAAAGCCAGAACTTAGAAAGATTTAAAAAGATGAGCATTTATTTGGAAAGCAAGGATATTTGGTGTTTTAGTTTAATCAGGGTTTAGGAAAGGGGAATCTCATGGTCAAGGCCTTAAACTAGGGGTGGGCAAAATGGCGGATCCAACCAGAGGCCGGACTCCATTTCCCAACAGCCCCTGCCTATGTCACTGCAGCCAGTTTCCATGGAGACCCCAGCAGCAATGGCTCCCTGACAGTTGGGGGCCAGGGTTTTCATGGAGACTGGCCCCAGCAGTACTGGCAGGGTGCGTGGCTGGATGGGGAGCTGCTCTGTGGTCAAAGAAAGGATGTTGCAGTGGTGACAGCGTGGTCTAGAGCCAGGGCAGAGCTGCAATCCTCTGTCTGGATGCCCCTACCCAGGGTGTGTGGGCAGTGGATCACAGCTCTGTCCCAGCTCTGGACCATGCTGTCTTCACTGCAGGATCCCAGCCCTGGAGCAGCCTCATGCCCTGCCAGTGCTGCTGAGGCTGGTCTCCATGGAAACCATGGCCTCATTATCACTGCTGGAGTCTCCATGGATACCAGCTGCAGCAACATGGGCAGGGGATGCTGGGAAATGGAGTCTGCCACTGGCAAGACTTTGCCTGCCCTTAATTTAAACCAGTCTCTGACTCTGGAATTAGAATGTGGCCTTCACTGGGGACTGATTATCCTACTACAGGGTTCCTTGCGCCTGAGACTGCCATTATTGGAGACAGAATTGTTGCATAGATGGAGTGAGAAGCTGATGCAGTCTGGCAAGTCTTGTGTCAAAATGAAGATGTCCCATTGGAGCTTGTCATACAGTAAAGAGTTTTGACATTGAACTAAACAATGAATGTGATGGACTGCACTGTATTAGAATCTAACTCACAAAACTTGCTGTCTGCTTATCAAGGAGGTGGGAACCCCATGATAATCTGAGGGGCCTGAGTCATCACTTTCTGTGGAAAATTATTAAACCTTAAATATGTAGTTACAGTTGTGAAGGTAGTCTCCCAAATGGGAGCTGATGCAGTGTTGCCTGTCTGAGCCTGTAGACAGGATTACTGCTTCTGTTAGCTCGTAGCATCTCAAGATTGCAGCAGGACAAATTGACGTGGCCAGTTTTATTGCTACTCTTCAGAATTCTGGAGAAAAATGATTGACTGGTTCACACTGTGGCTTGGTGAAGAGAAGAGTGATGATTAAATATTTTTGGAAGACCTCGACAAGAGACTGTGGTGATACCTTCCTGTGCTGCCCCTCCTCTCTTCTTTAAAAGTGGGGGCTGAAGCTTTGTTTTTCAAACACTCTTTACCCAAAGTCTTGTATGAAAGATGAACAGTTAGAGGTGGGGAGTGCAAAAGCAAAGACTGATTTTTCCCAAGAGGCATTAACAATGGACCTTTCTGCTGAAGTCCTGTTCTACTCTGAGTGTACGTTCTGCTACCCTAACCTCCTCCTTATTCCAGGACTCCACACCTTAAATTTAGAAGTATATTCTATTTACGTTATATTCTAAAAATGTTTTTTATTTGTTTATTTATTTTTATTTTTTTTTAAATAAGGCATCCTTGGGTTCCTTGTTTGTCAAAGGTTTTCATATCGGACATTCTTAGTTTATGACCAAAGGTGGCCTTATTGGTTAATGTACCAATCTGCCAACATAAGCTGATCATGAGGCAAACCTGATGCTTTCCTTTTCATGCATCTCTGCTCTGGCTTCTACTTTTTGTATTCAACTGAAACTGTTTGTGCTAGTGTCTGACTCCTAGTGACCTAGCCACCTCTCAGAGCCAGTTTTCCGTCCCCCTCCTTGGCCTATGAGCTGCCTTATGGGAAGTTGACCATACTCTTGAAATCTGGTTCTTCCCTGGCTATTGTGATTTTTGCCTTTCCTGCTTCTGTTCTACTTGTCATGTCAAAAGATCCTCTTTGTTCCCCCCTTCTCCTCCTTTCTGTGGGGTGTCCCACAGGGCCCTCCCCTTCATTTTCTTATACTTTATCAGGGTACTCTGTCACAAATGCCAATTCAACTGCCATCTCTTTGCAGACAGCTCACAGATATACCTATTGGTTCCAGATTTGCTGCCTTGTATCCAAACACAACTCTTAATCCAGTGATTCTCAACCAGAGTACTGAAAGATCCTTTTAAGGGTGTAACACGGTATTAGCATTGCAGGGTGTGCAGATATCTACACAAGATAAACCCAGAGACTTCCAATAAGAATTTATTGTGCCAGAAACATTCTTACATAGTTTCATAGTTTCAGGGTCGGAAGGGACCTAATAGATCTTCTAGCCCGCCCCCCCGCCAGGGCGGGAGAACAACCCAAAAAAAACACAACAAACCCTAAAAACAA